ATCTATTTTAAAAATAAAATGTAATTTGTTCATGTATTTAATGATATCCAACTAAACTAATTTTTTTGCACAAATCATTTTCACTACTTGATTTACAAGATAAACAATTTAAATTATTGTTATGAACCTGAGATGAGACCCACGATATGAAATGTGGAAAAGTATGAAAGACAAGGATTAAATTGATACATATTGAGAGAAACCTTGTTAGACCATCTCCAATGGTTTATCAATTATTTCATTACATTTAAATTTGATGAAAATAATAACATTTTCCTACTCCAATGATTTCATCAAATTAATATCAAATTGAGGATATCAAAAATCTTTCACCAAATTGAGAATGGTTGGAGCTTTCATCAAATCACTGTTCATAGCCGTTAAATTTTTACTACCGGATGTCCCCATGGATGTCGTCCTAGATGAGCACCTCTAGAAAAAAAATTTGTAAAAAAAATACACTAGCCAGTTAACCGGTTGAACATTCGCCCGATCATCTGCCGATTAACCGGTATTTTGATAAAAGCTCAAAATCCTCCATTAGAACACTTACTATTAAATGAAATTTTTTCTCAAATTTAATGAAAAAAAATATAGCGCTGGAGATACTCTTAACAGTGTTCTTTGGTTCACCAATTAAATATGTTGCTTCTTCAATGGTGGTTGTATTTTATTATAGTCTTATATGGATTGAAAGATCATAAGATAAGACTTGTTAGGATTTTTTATCCTATAAATTTGTGTTTGACAAATTCCTCCGTTGACAAAACATTTTATTGCTTCATGTTTTCTTGTGATTATATCCTTCTTGGTTTTCTCAAAAGTGTAGGATTGATTTGCATGGCAAGCATGGGAAAAATGATGGCTAGTTGTCTGATTGACTGAGTGAAATGCCTGTCAAAAGGTGTACAATAGTCATGCCTCAGCACGTGAAAGAAAGGCTACAAAAAGTCTAAAATAGTAGGTTGACTGTCTCTACCATCGCGCCCACAACAAACACCCTCGTGCCCGCAAGGAAGCACCATGGCGGCTGCGACCAGGCTACGATGAAAACATGCTCCCAGTACTTTTCACTGTAAGCAGCGAAGGGGTTCTAGTGACTAGAACTTCTAGAGCCCGTGACCTCCTAAATTGCACCCGCGACTAGGCTGCGAAGAAATCAGCTCCCAGAAGTTTTGCTCTGCAACCTGCGAAGGAGTCTCGCGCTCGCGATGGTCACTTGTCTATAAATAGCAGACCTGTTCAGTTATGTATTGTAATCTTTTGGGTTTGTATTTTGACTATGCCTTTTGAGAGAGAAAGAGGTTACATTGTATATTTCTCTCATGTTTGCTCTATGATTCATTCTCATTCGTTCTTTCAAGAAAATCATTTAGTCTAAACCAAATTACAAAATAGTTCATGAGTGTTCTTGAGGAGTGAGTGTGTCGTGAATTTGACATCTCTCTAGTGAAGGCGGATATCCACGGATTGAAGGACAGAGGTCAGTTACTTGTAGGTCTTGCGCAAGTACCTGTGCGTGGATTGATTGGTGTAAGAAATCTCTTGTACTATTCTTTTTTATAGTGTATTATTATTGTGGCTGAGGGCTTGTGATTTTTTAATCATATGTTGGTCGATTCTAATTGTGAAAAAATCTTTGTGTTTTGTTTGTTATCTATTCTTTTTTTTTTATTATTATTGTTGAGCTCGGTTCGTTTGAATATATTAAAGTAATAATTACAAGAGATGATGGGGCTATAATTTTTCAAGACTGGAAGTAAGTTTTTCTAGGATCTCATTTCATAACTGTAGCAAGAAAAAAACTCCAGACCATGACTTCGGGAGAGATTTTAGCCAGATTGAAAGATTTATGAGGTAGAAAATTGACCAATTACTTAAACATGTTAAATTTCATTTTGTGTCTATCTTAAATGATATGGAATCCCACTATTCTAATTTTTCAATATTATTGGTTAATTTCACCAGGTCAGCAAAATGATATGATCTAATATCCAACTTTTAGTATTTGGTAATATATATATATATATATATTATAATAATTATTGGATTAAAGACCTTATTTTAAGTCAAAAAGTGATGGGCCTAGAGATGGCTTCGGCCGTGGCTATACTCAAAGTCAGTTTTGCAATCGCTTAAAATATGACGTTTTCTCGAATTTTTGTTAAAGTTAGTAGGATTGTATTGAGTGTGATTATAAATTGATATTTTTATTTATTACGTAAAAATGTATAGAAAGTTAAAAAATAATATGATTTAAATAAATCAATAAATTAATAAATAGTTTATTTATGATATTGCCTAACCAAGTCATCATATTCTTATCATTACAAAGTCTAAAAAGATTAGATGACAGGTTATTTATTTATTTTTATTTTTTGATATATTAAAAGGGGATTTACATGCAGGTTGGAGAAAATAAAATAAATTACCAACACATGAAATGGTGGAAGTAACACTTGCACCTTTATATTCTTTCATTTGGATCTCACTACAAACACACTTATACTCTCACGTGTTGATGAATTTTTTTTTCTTCTTTCATTTGCATGTAGTTCTCATCCTTCTAAATTCTAAATCATAAACAATTTTTTATTTTTTATTTTTTATTTTTTTTTTGGAGAAATCACAAATCCTAAACATTAAATTTGTATATCCTATGCGCATGTCATAGTGTATTTGACAAAGATTAATTATTCATTTACATAAAAAAAAAATTTGTTTAAATATATATAATTAAAACTTTTATGGGTAAGAATTTGAATTACGTATATTCGGACAAAAAAATTGTGTGGATGAAACGCTTTTGCAAATAGGTGATGTGACCTTTGAAGTTCAAATTGAATTGTTCAAAGGCCTTTAAGCAAATTATAATAAATAAATAATGTATATATAGCACGCTTTGCAAATAGTTGATGTGACTTTTGAAAGTCAAATTAATTGTTCGAAGAAGCAACCATCTTTAAGCATATTAAAAAGTAAATTAATGTACGCATTGCCGCCTTTGCAAGTACATGATGTAACTTTTAAAGATTAATATTAAATTATTCAACGATAATGTGACATATATTAAAATTTTGATTCATTTGAATTATTTAAATTTATATATGTCGATTGTTTGGCCGGTTATCTAGACAGTCATTTAGTCGATCATTCGGATGTCGATTGACACATTGAATGACAAAAGTGACAGTTATGATTTTTTTTTTTTGATCGGCAAAAGAGAAACTTTATTGGTAAAAGAAGAAATACAAACGAAAACTTACATCAATAAAGAAGGGAGGTGCAACAAGTATCATAACTACAATTCTCGGTGCCAACTAGGTTGGCACCGAGAAGGTAGCACAATCATATGCCAGCACAACACCCAAGATTGGTGAGGATCCAATCAGCAGACAAAAAAAAAAAAATAAAACAAAACAAAAACAATGAACAACCAGCAATTAACACCCCAAGCAAAATACTGCTCTTCAGCAGCTAATGATATCAGAGTGCACCAAATTAACATAACCCCCCACCCTCAACTGGAACCAGCAGACTACTAGCCTTAGTAGCATAACTACCAACATCATGCTGCAACAGAATACCTTCCAGCCCTACCCAAAACACCCACTAAGACCATCCTCCACCATCAAACAGAACTGAAAATAACACGATGAGGCAATAGACAAGCATCAACAAGGCATTCAATCATTCCCCTGAAATACCAGATGCCAAAACACATGTTTTCCACCCCTCCCCCAGCCTACCAATGCAGCATTACTTCAATTGACCCAAAACTGTTGTATCTGCTACTCAGACCTCAGAACAGCAAGAACTCCATTTAGATGCAAGCCTCAACAACCAACTTAGCCCAAAAGACAGCAGTCCTTGTATAGCAACATAGATCACCACAGAGAATTGCATCTTTTAGCAGTAGTCCACCTTCACCAAAACAGAACAAGACTACCAAGCATTTCGAATTTGATTAGAAAGCAGCAGCCCCACAACACCAAGCCTATGCCAAAGTTAGCAGCAAGACAGAAATACCAGCAACAGAACAAAAGCAGAAATACCAGCAGATCAGATCCAATCTGTGCAGAGATAAAATGCAGAAATACCAGCAGCAGAACAAAAGACTTCCACAGCTCAACACCTCTACTACTTTACCCCAAAAGTTTACTTAAAACACCAACTGTCTGCCATATCAATATACACTCAGAGCACCTGCATTAGATTCTAAGATTACACACCCCTACCCCCCAAACACCTACGCACCTGGGACAGATTCTCAACCACATCATGAACAGAGTATTGCGACAGACTTGTATTAGATCTTATCCATAGGGCAATTCTAGTTTTGATCAGTTCACAGACATCCATTAACAGTGCTGCTTGCCATTGAAAATACAATCATTCCTTAGAGTCCATATTGACCAAAACACAGTGAATGGAATTACATTCCAAATTTTAGTTTCAAGTTTACCCCATTTGAACCCTCTCCACCACTCCAACACACCTCTAGCATTCTCAGGAATCACCCATTGCATACCCCACCAGGACAGAATATTCGACCAAATTTTCCAAGCAAACATGCACTGGAGCAACACATGACAATCTGTTTCAACAGCACAGCCACAGAACACACACTCTATGGTTACATCCTGATTGAGGCACCCTATACGTTGAAGGAATGCTCTAGACTTGATTCTACCCTCCCAAACAGGCCATCCGAAAAATTGCACTTTTGGAGGAGATAAATTCTGCCAAATCCACCTAACATCCTCCGACCCCTAAGCTGCATAATTCCTGTTATATACTGATTTTACAGTGAACATTCCTGAAGACGAGGCTTTCCAAACTAAGGAATCAACACTATCTGTTAAAATTGGCTCATGAGCAGTCAAGTACGCTCTAAGTCTTTCCAACTCATCTTCCTCCCAAGCCCTCAGACCTCTTCTGAACCTAAAGCTCTACCCAGTTGTACTGTTTCTCCTGTCAATCATCTGATTAAGATTAGCCTATTTGTCATCTGACAGCTCAAAAAACCTGGGAAACTCAACCCTCAAACTACAATTAGATGCCCAATGATCCTCCCAAAAACTAATTCGCCTCCTATTTGCAACTTTGATGACAGAATTCTCCATAAAGAAGTTAAATAAATTAGGACTGATGTGTTCTAAACTAAGAATATCACCCCATATTCTTGAACACTGAATGTCATCCACCAAAAAAGGTCTCCATCTCCCACCAAAGCTGCTGTACTTGCTAGTCACAACATCTTTGCACAATGCTTGATCCTCACCACCATATCTCCACCACCATTTTGCTAAGAGACACTCATTAACATCTCTCAGCCTTCTAATACCCAAACCACCACACCATTTCTTTTTAGTGATTTCGTCCCAACGCACCATATGAAGCTTCTTTTTTGTTTCCAGGCCTCCCCAAAAGAACCTGGCTTGGATTCTATCTAGCAACTTAGCTACACCCATAGGGACTTTAAAAAAAGATAAGTAGTACACTGGTAATGAAGTTAACACTGACTTGATCATAGGTAACCGACCCCCAAAAAAGAGTGTCTTCCTCTTCCAAGAAGCTAACTTAGACTTGAATTTATTTATCACTGGCAACCATGTAGTCTTCATTTTTGGACTAGCCCCAAGAGGCAACCCAAGATATGTGAAAGGCAGCTTTGGCCTTGACAGTTTAGTCTCTCAACAAAATCAGCCACCACCTCATTTTGTACCCCCACCCCATATACCTTACTTTTATGGAACTTAATCCATAATCCAGACAGCACTTCGAAACATCTCAAAATTCGTTTAACATTAAGAATTTCTTGCTCTTCAGCCTCGTAAAACACAATAATATCATCCGTGAATTGTAAGTGGGTTACATTGATCCTCCTAGTGCCTATAACAACTCCATTGATTAGCCCCAAATCTTTTGCCCTTTGAAATAACATATTAAGACCTTCAGCCACAATGATAAAGAGAAACGGCGATAGTGGATCCCCTTGTCTGAGTCCGTTTTCTGGACAGAATTCAGCCGTAGGTGAGCCATTCACCAAGATTGAAACTCTAGATGATTGCAAACATTCCTTTATCCACCTTGTCCACTTGTTTTGAAAACCAAAGCTGGACAGCATTTCGAACAAACACTCCCAATTTACTGAGTTGAAAGCTTTTTCAAAATCCAATTTCAAAATCATCCCTTTCTGCTTCTTCTTCTTCTTCCACCAATCCACAATTTCATTAGATATTAACACCCCATCCAAAATGTTTCGTCTCCCAATGAATGCAGTTTGGGAATCCCCAATTATCCTCTGTAGCACCTTTTTCAACCTTGATGCTAGAACCTTTGAAAGGATCTTATAAATGGAACCAACAAGGCTAATAGGCCTATAATTCGAAATACCCTCCGGACAATCTTTCTTAGGAATTAATGTTGTGAAAGAGCTATTAATACCTTTGGCTAGACGCCCATTATCATAGAATTCGTTGAAGAACTGTAGGATTTCTTTTTTAAACACTTTCCAGCACTTCTGAAAACAGGCCATGTTAAACCCATCCGGTCCTGGAGCCTTGTTGCCATCACTTTCCTTCACAGCCCTCCATATTTCCTCCTTAGAGAATGGTGCAACTAACCCATCCGAAACTTCATCATGCCCAATGGTTCTGAAGAGACCTTTAAGCTTGGGCCTAGATGTCCACTCCTCTGAAAATCTCCTTTTGAAAAGTTTAAACACCTCCTATTTAATCCTACATGGGTCTTCATGCATCACCCCATCTACTTCAATTGAGTTTAACAAATTTTTATTCTGTCTACTGGTGGCAACAATATGAAAAAATCTTGTGTTTTTGTCCCATTGAAGGTTCCATTTCAGTCTAGATTTCTGTTTCTACATCCATTCTTCTCGCTTAGCCAGTGACCATACTTCTTTTCTGACTTCTCTTCTTCTTTGAACCTCATTCTCTTCAAGATTTCTCGACTCAGCCACTAAATCAATGGCATGAAGCTCCTCCTCTGCTAACTTTAATGCCGAAGTCACATTCCCAAAAACCTCTCTATTCCATTTCTTCAAATCTACTCGAAGCATCTTTAGTTTATGCATTATAACAAAGCCTGCCCATCCAGACAATGCAGACTCCTCCCAGGATTTCTTCACAAGACTACCAAATTTGGGATGGAGAAACCAAGAATTTAAGAAACGAAACAGCCTTGGACCCCAATCCCTCCCATCTTCTAACAGTAATAGTGGCCAATGGTCAGACACACTTCTCTCCAGACCCTATAGTTTTAAATTAACCCTTTCCAGCCACCCAGTTGACAACAAGATCCTATCAATCCTACTCCATCTTTCCCCTTCAGTAGCATTACACCAAGTAAATTGCCTACCCATCATAGGTAAGTCAATAAGCTCTAACTTTTCAATGAATTGATTGAACTCCTTCATCCCTTTGTCTCTTCTGGAACATCCTCTTCTTTCCCTAATATTCCTAATTTCATTAAAGTCCCCAGCCAAGCACCAAGGGTCACTAAACACTGATTGCAGTCTATGTAATACACTCCAAAATTTACCCCTCTCATTTACCTCATTTGGTGCATGGATATTGAGCAGTACACATTTGAAATTTGGCAAAAGTGTCCCAGAGAGTATAATAAAGTGCCTAGTGCTACAGCACTGAGAAAGCTGGAACACAGATAACTTCCAAATGCACAACAATCTCCCTACCCTTCCTACAGAATCAACCACCATATATTCCTTATCTTCATCTGGCCATAATGATTGTACGAATAAGGATGAAATATCAGACCGCTTAGTCTCTTGGAAGTAAGCAAACTCAATTTTTCTGTTTTTAAGAATGCTCCTGACCTTCCTCCTCTTTTCGGCTTTGCCCAAACCCCTTACACTCCATGATAATAACTTCATTAACATAAAAGCTTAACACCTTATACCTCCAAATTGAAGCACATCAGCTTTGTGCTTCTGTATCCCTAGGTGCTGCCCTCTCTTTATCTTTGGCTTCCATCTCTTTTAATTTGATGATTACCTCATCTTCCTTATCTTCGAAACAAATGCCAAGAGCTTTGCCTATGCGAATTGTTGCCTCGGCCTCTTCATGTAGGACCTTGTCAACCCTCGTACTGCTCCCATTTGAACTTGATTTTGCTATTGACCCTTGTGGCACCGATCTTGCTGACAACCCCAATTTCGCCCCATGCGCAGCTTCTCTGCTCCCGTCTACCTCCACTACCTTTCCTCTGTAGTTCTGTCGAATTTCTGCTAGCAATTGAAGTCCTCTTCATTCTCACCAGCTTTTTTCTCTGCTTCACCTCACCCATTTTCGTGCCTGTGTTTCTTTGAACAATAGTGCAATGCATAGGTGATGGTATTGACCCATTCCCATGGACCTGAAGCCTCATATGATCTAAGCCCACTCCTCTTGAATTATTTCCATTGATAATTGGCCCATATGGTAGCCCACTATATTAGACTTCACCCAAATTAACTTCTAGTGTTATTCCATCTTTTTCCAGTCCGTTTCCACTCAAGCTCTTCATAAACCCATTAACAAGTCCAGTGCTTTCCTCATTCCCACTTCTTTCATTATGATCTTGAGCTGTAAACAACACTCCAGAAATTATTCCCACGCCTGTTTTGATAATCTCTCGTCTTCCCGAAGCATCGCCAACCATCTCTTCCACTACCGAGGTAGAGCAATCATTAGGAATCAGCTCCTCCACCATAGGTACATTGACTGCCATCTCATCCCTGTTTGATCTTGCCATATCAGCGTAAGTATCCAGCTCATTTTGTATTGAATCATCCACTTCAGCATCCTCCTTGTTTGAGTTTTTTTCCATTCCCAGCAACATGGCTTACCATCCCAACTGCGTTGCAAAGATCTTTTCTCTGCTGAGATGACTTCACCTTACATGGATCACCCATTACTTTAGTTACCATCACATGCTCTTCGCACACTCTAACTGGATACATCATATCATTACATTGGATATGTACTATTGTGTTGATGGAAGACATTACACTTGTTGCTACTTTTATCCTCCCAAAGCTAAATGACACCTGATTTAATGTATCCTCATCTATTCGGATTATTTCTTCCCATAACCGGCCTATCTTCATGAACATATCATTGCTCCATAAATGCAGGGGCACCCCATAACAACACAGCCACACAGCCCTTTCCGGAGCTAAATATGCCCCCCTCTTCCACTCTGTGACTGAGGCACACCATTCTTTTAGGCAATCTTCCAAAAGGACCAGCTGAGACTTCATGTCCTCCGCCGACAAAAACGACACAACGGCCATCTTTTCCCCTCCTTTTCTGACCACCACATCCTTGGAACCAATTTGAAGGACGCTATCACGGAAGTCAGAGAAAGCATAATAACTTTATCCCCTTGTTTGTTTCCTTGAACTAGGGCTTCTGCATATGATTGATGACCCATCATCTTCTTATCTACCTTGCCCTCATTTCTTCCCTTATAACCACTCGGCTTAACTGTATGAGTAACCACCTTTTTTGTCTCCTCCACTATATCCGTACTACTTCTTACCTTCTCAAAGGCTGCTTTCTTAACATGAAGTTCCTTGTCATCACACCATATGCCATTAGCTTTTCGAATAGCTACTTCAGCTGCCACTGAACAATCATATCTAACAAACCCAAACCTTGATCTTGTGGACTTCCTGGTTTTGTTTGGGATGAACACATCTTTAACTACCCCAAACTTTGAAAATAGGAGGAACAGCCCTTTTGGATTCATAGACCATGGGAGATTATCCACAAAAACCGTAATGACTCCTATTCTATCGTTCTAGACTCCAGATCGCTGGTCTTGTCTTCTTCTCCCATATAGAACTGGCTGCCATCCACCTGGTCTGATCATCTGCCCTTCATCTACCCTGTTACTCATAGCTGTCATGGAGTGGTGAAGTGACAGTTACGATTAACAATGGTGACAATCGCAAATGACAAGAATTAAGTCGGTCATCCGACTATGTTGTTTGGGTAGAGTCGGACTACCTCTATTTTGGTGGACCAAGCATGTTTCATTGTTCAAATGCCTTTGGTACCATGTTTAAGAAAATAAAAAAGATAGAAACTCAAAAAAAATATTCCTAAAAAATAGAAAAATTTGGTCAAAATCCCACATAATAAAACTTTAATGCATGAAGGACAAACTCAAAATGTTTTCCTTAAAAATCCAACAAATACCATTATTACCAAAATATTCTTAGTGACTAATTTAATATTTTAAATTTGAAAATGATATGACTTTTGATTTAGATGTCAATTTTTAATAAAATTAGTATTTTTAGAATTCTATCATCAAGATCTACCAATTAAAATCCATATTGACTATATGTTGAATATAAAATTCTTTATAAAAAAATTTATCGTCAAAATTGATGTAAACAGTAACATGTTACTCTATTTGATAGTAACATGTCACTCTATTTTACAGCAAAAGCATCTTCAATAGTAAATGTCATAATAGCTTTGTCGTTGCTATAATAGCTATAATTAGAGTATCTCCAATGGAATTTGCTAAAATAGCATTGCAATTGCTATAATTTGGCAATGAATAGTGTTATTTTGTCAAATTATACCAATGGTGCTCTAATGGTTGCATGTTATTTTGGCAAATCTCAACCAATTTTCCTTCCAAGTTTATTGGTGTTGTTTGGATATAGGTTTTTTAGTGATTTTATTTTTATGTTTATTTTTGTCTTTTGTGACAGTTTTTCAACCGTGTTGTAATTATATATATATATATATATATTTACGTTTGGGAAGAGGGTTGGACTAAAATAGCCCATTAAAAGACAAAATAGGCTAAAATAACTATAGACAAACTGTCACACTCAACCCATAATCATTTCACTTTTTCTTCCACAACCATCAAATTAACTACAAAAAAAAAAAAATTCACCAACTACCCACCGACAACAATCCATTTTTCACGAAAAAAATAAAATAATTAATTGCATTAAAAATACTCAAAATTACATTAAAAAATAAATGACATTGCTAAATTAAAAAATACATTCTTCCTTAAATATTCACCAGGAGGGAAAATAGTAATTTGGGTTGTTGGCATGTGCGGACGACTTGGCGAAAATCTCATTTTTGCGTATTATGTAATACACTTTCGTCTGAGGGTCCAAATGAGAAATGTCTGTAGTCATTATTAAACGGTCTACTTTTTTGATCTCAAGTTCTCTCATCTCTTACAGATGTTCTTCCTTTTTGATCTCCAATTCTTTCATCTCTCGCAATGCTTGAATCATTTTTTTCTTTTTTTTTCCAGTTTTTTTCATTTCTTTCTCAATAAGGTGTTAGTTAAATATTTCCAACAAATTATTATATTTGTGAACTTCAACTTGAACAATTTCACTTTTTCGAAGCAATTATTTTGCAGATTTCCTACCCATAGGCCTTTTACCCCTTGTAGAGACACTACCCTCACCGATTGGATTATTACTAACAGTTGGATTGTTACCAACACTTGGACTATTGCCGTTGTCAAGAGAAATGTAGTTATTCATAGGGGATTCGAAGGCTGAATTAGGGAAAAATGATATAAGTATCCTTGACTTTACTGTGTTCGTAGGAGTTACATCTTGCCACCTGATATTGTTTTGCAAGATTGACCAACAATGTTTAAAAGCAAAATGTTTGTTTTCATTTTGATGGTATAAAAGTTTTGCTTGAAGCATCTGCATCAATAAAATATTAAATTAATTAATTAATTAATTTTTATATGAGACAAAATAAAAAATAAAAAAACTAACATAATAAATGAAGATGAAATCTTACTATATCAACTTGAGACATTCCACTTGGGTGTAGATTGTTGACTTGCGCCAAACATCCACGAAATTTGTTGCAACATTTCATGATTACACCCCACCGAGATGAGATAGACACTTGTGTTCTAGAGTGATCATTTTGCAACAAGCAATAATTTTCAAGAATTTTTCCTAAAAAATGAGCATGAGATTGCAAATTCTCAACAATTTTAGTAATGTGACACCAAACTCTACAAATTGCCACATCTTCTTGAGTGGTGAATGATTTTCCTCTCTTTGTTCTTGATGAATCTTCGATACTGATTGTGTGAAAAAACATACAATTTTTTTTTTTTTTTTTTTTGGTAGATTGAAGATAATGTGAATTCAAATGGAGATTGGTTGTTTAGTTTTATAGGGAGTAAAAATATGACCTTTTTTTTATCTGTTTAAATTATGACTGTTGAAAACCAAATGTTTCAAACATTTCTCAATTAGAGGAAAAAAAAAAGTCGTTGCTCAAATTTTGTATTTCCAATGGCAAAAGAGCACTGTTGGATAGATTGATCCTTGTCCCCCTGTCTCTTTTATCTCTCTGTTACTTTGTCTCTCGTTGATTCTAGAACTACCACCCCTACTCTGCTCTCTCTCTACCTATCTTCATCTCTCTCCCTCCCCCCCCCACCCTTACCGATTGTAACTTTTCTCACTCACTCTCTACCCATCTCTGTCTCTGTCTCTCTGTCTCTCTCTCTTTCTCTCTTTCACTCTCACTGATTGTAACTTTCCTCACTCACTCTCTACCCATCTCTATCTCTCTCCCCATCTTCATCTCTCTCACTCGCCCTCACTCACTCCCGCCCATCATCATCTTTCTTCCTTGCTCTCACTCCCACCCACCCATCTTTATCTCTCCCCAACAACCACCTCCCTCAACCATAGCAACCATCAAACCTTCAGCAACAAACCCTTCTAATCTCCAACCCTCAAACCCTTCGAATCCTTGTTTGATCTCCAACCTTCTTCTCCACCACAACCCCTTATTTCTCACATTTGTCCTTTTCGAAACCCTAACCCCAATGATCGAACCCCTCCGTTTGAAACCCTAACGATCATCACTGACAGAGAGGGACAACACAAAGGATTTACATCACAATCATCTTGAACTGATTGAACCCCTTCATCCTCAGTGAAGAAACCCCTTCGTCTTTAGTGATTGAAACCCTAATGAAGAACACGAAGAAGATCAATCCTACAAAATACCATTTCTGTCAGGTATTGTTTTTTGACTTCTTTGTGTTTATTTTCTATTTTTTTAAAATGTTTTTTGCTTGAAATTGAAATTTTCCTAGCTTATTTCTGTTTGAAATTGTTCAATTTTGCTTGCATGCTTGAAATTGCTTATGTTTGAAATTTCGCTTGCTTGCTTGAAATTGTTCAATTTTGTTTTTGTTTTTGTTTTTTTTTTCAAAAATTCTGCATCTGTTTTTATTTTATTTTTTTGTGGTTTTTGGGTGAAAATTAC